AATTAGGATGCATTCACATTTTTATTTGAATCATATCAATGAAATATTTTAGATTAAGGCTGGCATCACCATTTTTGTGTGCAAAAGCTTGGGAGGAAAATTAATGAAATGTTGGGCAGCTCAAATGCTGCCCCTTCGTCGACCTTCAGGTTATGTTTGCATAATAACCTGCTTTTGTTTGTGCCGCAGCCTACACGTTTTACATAATCCAAGTTTTTCTAATGATTTTCAGTACCTATCCAAAATGAACTTATATTCTTTAAACTAGGCCATAGCTTTGACCATACCTGGCATCTAGTTAGAAACTTGGCAATGTTTTTGGTTTGTGGCATATAGGCACTTACCCATTTTTATGCTTTCTATTGTGTAGGGTGCCGTTGTGTACGAGGCTGTGTGTCATTTCTGCCTCTAAACCAACTTAATTTTATTTATCTCAAGGGAATTATCATAATAGTTAGCCTAAGTGCTAACTATAGTTATGCACACCTACTTACTGCATTTGTATAATCAGAGTCCGAAGGCAGGTGTTTTAAGGGTTTCAATATTTGAATATTGTTGATAAAAGAACAGTAGAAATAAATGTCAGGTCTCAAGATGCTCAATAAGAAGAGTGCCTAATCATTGGAACCTGTCCTAAAATATGTTAAAATTCAAGAAATGATTAAAATTTCAGAGATCAGGGAAAAGTAACATCCAGTCATCTCAACGTAAACTCTGTCGGCTGACATCACCTGGTTGATGGAAGCTGCGTGACAGAATCCGTGTGCCACTGACAAAGTATGTGACAGCTGAAGAGGTTTTTGCACCTCTGCTTTCAGACTGAGGAGTCTTTCACACACTTCATAACACATATCTTGCTTATTCATGCCGCCGCTGCCATAGCCCTCCCATGGTCACCCCGGGCCTGCCAGGCCATGCCGTGCCGTGGTGCCGTGGCGTCGTGCCGCGGTGCCGTGCCGTGCGTCGCCCACAGTCGGTCAGATCATCGGTTACCGGAGCGTAATACACCCGCCCTCCCTGCGGCCGGCCGTGCCTGCGCAAATGAAGGTGCCATTACACGGCCCTCGTCAGCCGCCGCCCCCGTCCCCGCTCCCGCCTCCTACGCCGCCCCCGCCTCCGCCTCCGTTCGTGACGGAAGCTGTGTGGGGACACTGTGGGCTGCAGAGTGTGAGATGGCGGGAGGCCAAATCCAGCCTGAGCGACGGGGCACGATCAAAACACCCGGCTGGCGAAAGGGAAGCGAAAAAGTGTCACCCAGAATAGAGCACGAGAGCAACGTTTATAGAGATAGCTCCGATAAGAGCAGCAATTTACCAGTAAAATTTTACATCAACATGGATAAGACGCTTTGAAGACAAAATGAAGATGTTGGCTTCTGAAATGCATTGCTTAGATCATATTGTCTTACCTTCCACGCTCCCTACTCCAATGAAACAAAATGGATGAGGCGCCGCCGCGACTCTAGGGATACAGCCAGAACGTTTGTTTCTTAGGCATGCATTCTGTTTGTCCAGCTTTCTTGATTTCACGTCTAATTAATTCGTAATTTACTTTCTTGTGTACTTAATACCGGATCAGTAATGAAGAATGTTCTCTCAAGGCTCCAGAACTTATTGTCTCGTTCCCTTGTCTTCATTGTTTCAAATACCTATTTCGCAGCGTATATGTGTATTGTATTCAAGTTTAAGTAGAAACGTTGAAGTTACATTTTTTCCGTCATGGTAAAGAGAACGTTTATTGACATCAAGAAACCTAAAAAGGCAAACAATTCATTGTGAGTTGAAAACTAATTAATTATTGAATATAAGGTTCATACAAAGAGGCTGATTTATGGCATTGACATCGTTTAAAGGCGAAGTTAGATGAAAAAAGAAGAAAAGAGTTAGACGAAAAGACATCTGCAGTGTAGGCCGACCTCGCTTCAGGCCTTATCAACAGCACATCCCAGAGGAAATGGTGCCAAGCCCGGCCCCTTTGATGACACCATTTCCTGCTGATAATTTGTTTGCTTTGAAGCTTGTGAAGCATAGGGGAGAGTGGGGCACATTCGTGCAAAAAATGGATAAATTCATATATCTGTTCTTTGGTTAGTGCAACGGCAAAATTGTTGATTGTAGTATGGAAAGGAACTATTGCACATATTTTTCCTCTTTAAAACTTATCCTCTAAAGTTACCGCTTCTATTAGAAAAAATGACTTTTAATAACTCTTAACGTTTGCACAAAACTGCCCCAGGTATGGGGCACATTCGTGCATGGGGTGGGGCACTTCCGTGCACCGTGCAAAATTAAATGAATTACCGGGCATTGCCAGAAATTTACCAAAAGAAATGGGCAGGGGGTCATTTTACTTGATCCCTTTCCACAGGAATGCATTGCACAACGTATGTAGAAAGAATTGGCTGACCAACAAGAATGTGCCAACCGCCGGCCATCGACCCGCCTCCGTGACCTCTCCAAGGGTCACGTGAATTACTTGTCACGACGTCGCAAGCAGCCGAGACTGAGTCAGGCGAGCGTCGCTACTACAGATAAAGTCATAAATCGCAAAAACGAAAAAAATATGCAGGAATGTGCCCCTAGGCAGTGCGTGCACGAACCTGCCCCACAACACTATTTGTAATATAATTCAAAATTTCTTATTGAAAAAATGACAGTTTTTCAACAAACAAGTTTGCAGCAGTTCCGTGAATAGAGTGAGCTTCTTCGGACCCAATTTTGAAAAGTTAAACCACATTTCCGAGTCAGGATCACGAAAATGGATGATATGAGAAAAGTTTGGAAAGCCCACGAATATGACAAATTTGCGTTTTTATCAAGCATGACATCAGGTACAGTGTTGTCTCCTACAGTGAACGAAGGGCGGCAAAGATAGACATATTTTCATATTTACCTTTAGCTCGTGCAGTCACTCGTGTTCCCATAAATTGCTGAAAACGAATGTGCCCCATGCACGAATGTGCCCCACTCTCCCCTACAGCCCTTTGATCCTGTGAAGTTAACGCTAGCGTAGACTTTTCATGACGCCGTGTGACAGATCAATTATCGAAGATAATTTATGCAAGTTATGCTTGTAGATCTTCTGAAAAGTTCGAAAGTCCTTTATCCCAGATCTGTAGCTGTTTGCTCTTCTCAATGGACGCTCTACCTGCCGTACTTTGGCTACTTTACCGTATAGTGAGTCCGATGACTGATGAGTGATGAGGACTCAGTACACACACGTATTCCAACATTTCTGGTATATTCGTGTTGCCCGAAAATGTTGCAGTGGATTCAATAAATCACAAGCAAACGGCGCCCAAGCTACCGATACGCGAAATGAAACCGTCGCGTCAAGCATACAGAAGGCGTATGAATGCAAACTAGAGGACTCCGGGATGTGCCGGATGTTGGGCTCTGAGAACCCAGCGGCCAGCGCTGTGTCTGACTGCAAAGAGCTATCTTCTGGCTCCGAGTACAGCCCATTCACTTATATGTAAATATCAAACCCATGAATACGGTTGCTTACAACTAAGGAAACTAAATGCATATTGCTGAATGAGGCGGGCAGTACAACTTGGCATATACCTATACTAGGACTTTCACCAAACTTAACTATGATCTAGGATGCTGATAAAACCAAGGTCACTAACTTTTTTTAATCGTTTGTTATGACGACACTGCCCATAAAACAATATGGAAAGAAACAAAAATGCGCTGGCGAAAGAAAGACGTTGCCGTGTAAACACTCAAAGGGCCTTGCGGCACAGTCTACTTTCAGGTGCAATACAGCAGCGCTATCTAGCGGTGGTAATCAGCACTAGTTATAACGCTGCGGTACAGTATAACCCGTAGGCGCGGTATGCCGCGGCGTAATAGAAATGTGACGTGCGGGTTAGTCTAACTGCAGGCGCTGACGCGTAGCGACATCTGTCGGCAAATCATAGCACCAAGTCGCCTTGTGGTACGGGCCGAGAAGATCGGTAACTGGCACTTTAGCTGTTGTTTTTCAATAGCTTGGTTGGTCAAGGCTGACCGAGGCTAGTTCACCGTAGGCCCTGCCGCCTTGAGTTCACCTTTGAATATTGATGCTCTGTCGAAGAAACGCATTAGGGGAGAGAGGTCATATTGCGCCATGTTCTTAAATGCGCCACACCTTCCTCCTGTCCAAAATTCGATTCGAATGAATGCTCGAATGTGTGCATTTACTTCACCACCAATAACTCGTTCTTATTCCGGTCCACGGGGGCAGGTAAGGTGTCTCAGCTTTCTCGCAGACCATTTTTTGTGATTTCCCCTATTTTCTTACGCGAAACAGTCTATTTCGACCTTTGCTAGTGTCATGGTTTATCTTAGAGATAGTGATTCAACTAATAATCATTGTTAATTGCTCGTTTAATGGTAGTTTTGAAAGTTTATCACCACCGTGGCTTCGCTGTCCTCGCCATATTTGAAGTTCATGAAAAATGTGTTCCATTCGTAATTGCGCCCACCCTATTTGCGCCCTATTCTTCAACCCAGAGAAACAGCATCTGGTGGTTGGGACACATTTCATTGAACACTTTTATTATTAGAGCGCTCACCTTACCATTACCTTAGCCTTCACAGCATAAATGGTTAATGGGCTGACACGTTCAAATAGGCTACTTAGTTAGGTGGCAAACCGTTGTTTTTAATAGGGCGCTTTTACATGAGAGGCATGGGCGCTTTTTGATGGGGTAGTCCGTAAATGCGCCCTTTGCAGGTGTGTCGGAAAACTTTTCTCTTGTTAATTTTTATGGGTGTGATACAAATTAGGAGCTGTAATTTGATGCCAAAATAACTGAGGTACAATTTGAGATATCATTATGCATGACAGCTGGTCAACTTTAGCCGCAATAGGCCGATATCCTTAAGGTGGCGCAATATGACCTCTCTCCCCTACGCATGTAGCCTCCTATGCTATGCCTAAAATGTTATGCATTGTATTGCAGTGCAGGTAATACAAACGTGATTTAACACACCCCACAGGTGTGGACTTACCTGATCTGGCAATCCCCCACTTCCAGAAGAATTTGACACCTGAAAAAACGGGACTGATCAGTAAACAATACTAGGAATATCTTAATTAATTTAGGTACCTACCTATTTAGTATCATCCTGCGCCCTCAGTGCAACCATTTGAAGGCTCCGAAACGTTTCCCCAGTGTCCATCTTCCCTCCCCGATATCTCCCTACCCACAGCGCTGTCGCCAAATCATCGACCCGTTGGCACATTGCCAAGACGCCCGCTGCTCTGCTCTTGGACCCAGCGGCCCTGCGACGACCTTGACCGGTATATATAGGTACATCGGCGGTTGGCCCGGGGCGACGCCGGTCACTCGTGTTCTCAGGGGCGGGGTTTGGCACTCTGCCAACCAGCTGAGATGACCGTGTCGAGAGGAAGGGAGGGAGCCCAGGGGGCGGGGGCGAGGGACGGGAGAGCCGGGAAATGATGGAATCGGCGACCGGAAGTGACATAGCGCAGGAAACCGTGGGCGGAAGGGCAGACAGAGCCGCCAGCACCCCCTGCTGGGCGCCTGACAGGCATGTATTACTGAGATTTATACTCCATTGAAAGAGTGCGCATTGGGCAATGGTTTGGCTTGCTCAACCACGATTCAGACAGGAATTTATATGAAAAAAACGACCTAAACTGAAGTATCTCGGCGATGATTCACTCTAGGCTGCGAGTGAATTATGCAACCCGTGTAATGCTTGCAATCAAAGCACTGGCTTTGTCGGAAATTTATCGACAATTTAGTTTTAAAAAATCACACAAATAGTCTTCGAATCAACACACAATTTCACCATCCTAAATCCTAAATAACGAGTTACATACACTAGCCAGCCCGGGCAGAACGGCTGTCATCAGCACCATGTCCGATGGCTCAGGCTGTGCCATTGCATGTTGATCTCATGAACGGCTAACCGCCTGGTGGCAGATGTCCCGAGAGGTCAGAACGGTGCAGCCCTTCCCAGTGAACACTCACCCTGGTATCTTGCTCAGTGACACTCCATCCGGCACGTCCAGTGACTTGGACCGGTACCCCGTGAGGGTGACCTCCATCGACCTGGGCCTAGCGCGCGACCACAGACCCTCCGTCTGTCCGCGCGCCCTCCCGCCCTCTGCCACCGGCCGCGGCTCGTCGTCAAACCGGACAACGGACCGCAGTTGTATACCGTCCTCGGACTCAGTCGGAGTCTCCGCACTGGCCCGGCCAGGTCTCCAGCCGGCAGAGTCCAGCAGTGAGTCCAGCTGACGGCTGCGGTGGCGCTGCAGCGCCTGCTGGGCCGGACGCAGCAGCGCCCGGTGCTCCTCGCGCAGCAGGAAGTGACTCCGGTAGGCGGCGCCACCGACTGACCGCCGGGCGGCGCCACCGTCCAATGCGCTCAGCTGCCGCGGCAGCGAGCTCGAGCGGCGCAGGCCAGTCGTCGGCACCGCACCGCCGTTCAGCAAACGCTCGAAGCTGCTGTTGGAGGTGTTCCCTCGCGAGAAAGTCTGCGGCGGCGGCGGAGGCGGGGCCGGCGGGTCGGACCGGAGCTCCAGCGAAGCCCGGGCGCTGTTGATACACGCCTGCCGCATCAGACTGTGGCGCTTGTGGGAGTCCGTGCTGGCAGGCGCCGGCCGCCGGCGACGCACCGACTCAGGGGAGTGCTGACCCTCCATCGGATCCTTATAGTGTCACCGTTTAGTCCCACAGGTCACGGAACGGTAAACGGGCGCGGAAAGAATAGGGCATCAAATTAATGCGGCGGGTTCGGCGGCTGGCAACGCTAGTCTCGGGTACTCCAGATGTCAACCGCCAAGGTCAGACGCTGACAGCTGTACAAACACTGCGTCCAGGCCCGTCACAGATTCGTCACAGCGTGCAGTCACGCTCCGACACCGTCACTCGCCGTCACTGAGCGCTCACTCGACCCAGACGTCACTGTTCGGCATCGTCCAAACGTCACACTGGCGTTCGATCACCACCACACCACCGTAGTTCTACACGACCACTACACAGTCCTCGACGCTCTGTCTCCTCCCCCGCTCTGCACTGCACTGATGGCCGGACCGAGAGAGCACCAGTCGAGAGACATGGTATCAGTCACAGCATCCGGACTGGGTCTGGGGCGCCGGGCCGAGCGCCGCCTGCCGCCGCCCCTCGCCCGCGGCGCCGGCTGTGGTGTCACAGCCCCCCCCCCTCCCCCTCCCCGGGAGCCAGCTCAGTTGACACAGCGAAACGGCAGCGGTGGGGGGCGAGCGATCGGGGGGGGGGGCAGCTCCGCCTACTGGGGATCCCATGGCGGAGCCGGGTACAATTACCCTGAACAATACGAACTGCGCAGCGATGCGAATATTCGTTTTAAAACACTGATGAATCACGTATGTGAAGGAATGCGAGCAGCCCGATCAGGTGAAATGAGATGAAGTGTCAGTTGTAAAAAAGTTCCTATGGAATATGAGAGTATAGCGTTTCATCCACTCCCAGCAAACTGACACCCATATATTTATTTCATAAATGCGAGCATTAGGTATATGGCGGCAGCCATCAACGCTAAATGTATCCTTTGAGGCAGCTTTATCACCCACTGTAAGACCGTGGGTTCAGTCAGGAACTGACTGAACCGTCTAAGAGACCAAAGACCACGGTCTCTGTCGGAGACCGGTCAGAGACCATGGTGTCCGTCACGTGCAGACTGCACTCTCAGTCATCTGCAGGTCGCTGCCTCTGTCCTTACGTCAGCCGCCGGTGATTGATGGAGAAGCGGCCGCCGCTCGCCGTGTTTACGGCACGGACGGACTGATTCACCCGGTGGTGAGCGAAGGACGGGATGCAGGCTCCGAGAATCCGAGACCGTGATAGGAGCGTCACTGGTGAACGGATCGACGCGCCCGGCCGGCGCCGCACGAACGGGCAGAACCAATGGTAACTCGTTATAACGAACCAACACCACCAAGGTCACATCTCAGCGCAGTGTGCTGAGACAAACACATTGATATGGTTTGCCGCCTGCACATAGGCATGTCCTTGTATGTTTACAGGAGCCGTTTATGATGCAAGCGTACTGAATTCCCCATAAATTTGACGGCGATGAAGAGGGCTGACGGATGGAGCCTGGAAAGAGCCAGAGGACGGACGTAATACGTATTTACCCGCAGTGGGCCAGCCCCAGACTACCAACGTGAGCCCGCTCTCCTGTTGTCCAGGGATCTCAGAGCGCGAGACGAGAATAGCTGCTCGGGAGTAAAGACGGTTCCCCAAAGTGAGGGCCAACCGGAGATGCCCACAGGGATTCAGGGGAGGGAAGAGAACTATGAGAGAGCTGGGACGGCGGAAAACCGGCGATACTTGAAAGTGTGACGATACATCAGCATATTTATATGGGTAAGCACAAAGACGGATAAACGAGCTGACTTAGAAGCATAGACGGACAGACAGACTAGGAGACACTGGAAGACGGACAGGATACTGATAGACGGACAGAATGACAGACAAGACCACCCAGAGACGGGCAGGCGGACGAAAGGATAGACGGACAGACACCACTATACCCACGGAAGACGGGCAATAGATAAACGGGCGAGCAGACGGACAAGACGGACAAAACAGACAAACGGACAAACCGACCGATATACGGAAATACGGATGGACAACCAGGCTTATGGACGAACGAATAAACAAACACGCCTTTAATCGGAAGAAATGTAGCTCTTTCATAATGACCATCTTCAGCCCAAGAAACGCACCAGTTAACCGATAAAGCGAACAGACAGACAGATATCTCAAGTCCCCGACGTGGTTCATTCTCGGCGGGCCGTGAGCCACCGTAACTCACCTGGCGCAGCGCAGGCAGTTGATGTGCAGGTAGTGGCCGTGCACGATGATGAAGCCCGTGTTGGCCGTGCTGCCAGAGCAGAGGAAGCAGGTCGGCGGGCGGGCGGCGCCCTTCGACAGACCTCTTGCCGGAGACCGGCCTCTGACCACCGCCTTCGGTTTCAACGAGCGGTACACCTTCTGGTGCCACTGGTTAGAGCGGTCGAACGTCCCCGGGTCCGTCTCGGCACAGTTCCGGTCACTGCTGTCCGGCTTATCGCCCTGCTCCGCCGCCGTCTCCGTGACCTTGGCAGGGTCGCCGTTACCGGTCTGCGGCGGGTCATCGGCTGACCTCAGGTCAATGACGCGCCGCGCCAGGTCTGAGACGCTGGCGGAGAGCTGACGGGCGCGCACCGGACGCCGTAGGCTGAACAGGGATCGGGAGAGGAGCGCGGCGCCGCTGAACCGCAGTCGACCCGGCTGTAGGGAGCCGGACGACTGGCTGCTGCTCAGGGTGGGTGACGTGTTCCGTGGCAGACTCAGCGCCTTCGACATGGCTGATCACTGGTGGGGTCGCACGGTCACTTCCGCAGCCTCGTCCTTATAGTCGTGTGGTTGTAGGTCGGAAGGTGGATACAAATGGCTGCGAAACCGAGAGGCCTTCGGTACCAACTGTCATCGAAAGGTCCATATGTTAGTCACTAGGATATTCGCAGCACGCTGCCCCTCACACACCGCAGGCTGACACTTGGCCCTGACCTTTCACCCAAAGGAAGGGAGGACAAGTTCCACGCGTGCCGACGTCGCCAGCTGAAAGCTTATCAAACGATCACCGCAGTTGCCTGTCACAAGTCTCCTTATAATGCAGGCACGAAACACTCAAACGAACGGCCTTCTTCGATATTAACTAAGTCTTGCAACAGCTCTACGTCATCACTAGCACCAGACACCACAAGAAGATCGCAAAACATAGCACACTGCACGAATTCAAATCCTGCTCTCGTCTCGCCACAACGCCAACGATCTAGCTCTATACAGCGTCGCGCTCGACGCGTCGATCACCAATAAGCCTGGGGGTACAGGTGAGCAGCGAGCAGGTCTGCGGGACAGGTGCTCCACAGGTGGCTGTCACGGGCTGACAAGGTCACTAGTGGCGGTCTCAGAGCACGCGCCGCGGCCGTGCCGTCCCCAGGTCACCCCGGGTCGCTGCAGACAGTGCAGGTGCATCGAGGATAGGGTGGCTGGCACACCTGAAGCGGTAAATGTTAGCGACAGTTATTGAAGCCCCGCGGCTGTGAAAACGATCAATTGGTAATAAACTGAGTTTGTCTACCAGGTCGCTGGGTGGTGTTGGTTGTGAGTGTTCGACCAGTAAGCGGATGGGTTCGCTCTGAGGTCAACATCTGTTTCTCAGGCCTTGATGAAACAGCCCCGTCGTCCCATTGCTCGGGACGCCACTGTGGACCAGAGCTGCGGGCGCGATCCGACGGACGGCGTGACGCCGCTGATCGCCAATTCACTATCGATCGAACTCGTACAGCGCAACCGGCGCCGACCCGCAGTTAGCTGCCGCCGTCGGACCGCATTTCAAAACAGAACCGTCTGCTGTCAAATAATCGAACTCTGCAGCCCAACAGAGCTGTCTGCCGTCAAATAGTCTAACTCTGCAGCCCAACAGAGCTGTCTGCCGTCAAATAGTCGAACTCTACAGCCCAACAGAGCTGTCTGCCGTCAGAGCAGCAGACCGACCCGAACAGAACTGTTCTCCGTCACAGCCTCCCAGAAACAGAGCTGTCCATCGTCAGAGCACTGCTCTTCAGAGCTGTTGGGAAGGGCAGCTTCTCAAATAGAGGCGTCAGGAGCAGCGAATTTACATATGAAGCTTTTGGGAAAGGACAGATCTCAAAGAGAGTGATAGAAAATAAATCCCAAAATGATGATGAGAAAGGACGGATCGGAAGCGAAATGAAGCCACAAAAAAGGACAATAAAAACTCGTAATAAATTATAACTTATCTATTAAGTTGTGTTTGAATAATTCCGAAACTCGACAAACATGTTCCCAATATCGCTCCGCTTCACCAAGATTTTGTCCTATTAAAAGAACAATTTGTGAGGTTGTGACCAGGGATGCGGAGCCGTGGAAATTTCAGACGGCTCCGGCTCCGGCTCCGGCTCCGGAGAAAAAAATCGGCTCCGGCTCCGGCTCCGGCTCCGGGTGAAATGGTATGGCGGCTCCGGCTCCGGCTCCGGCTCCGAGTAAAATGGTCCGGCTCCGGCGGCTCCGGCTCCGGCGGCTCCGGCTCCGACTCAGTACATCCCCTACGCAATCAATTAAATACGGGTGGAAGAAAAATTGGATTGGTTATACGCGTTACTCTTTGCCATGACCGGCTCACCGCGTCCCCGCGCAAACGCACCTCGGAGAGAACTGGCAGAACAAAGGGCTAGGAAGCGATGGCATTGGAAACGCAGTCGCCGCGAATCGGATCGGAGTTCAGTGAACCATCGTAAGCTGACACCCGTCTCGGCTGCATTGGGGGGTGAGGGGTGGGGGGGGGGATGAGACGGTGCTGGGAGTCGCAGTCCACTGCACTGGTTTGAAAACAATGGCCGTCACCTGATGACTGGTCCTCATGTTCTGGGGATGCAGTAGACGTGGGGGGGGGGAAGAGCAAACAGGAAGTTGTTTGCGTACTGTGGGATACTGGGGATATTCGGATTTTTTCATTCACTTGATGGCCCATGACGTAAGTACCATATCGTTTTACTGCCTTGTACTGTCAAACCGAACTAGGTCAATTATTTTTTTCCTCTTCAAAAAATAAAAAGGAGCCGGAGTCGCCCCCTTTTTTGGCGGCTCCGGCTCCGGCTCCGGCTCCGGGCTATATTGTTTCACGGCTCCGGCTCCGGCTCCGGCTCCGGGCAAAATATGCCGGCTCCGGCGGCTCCGGCTCCGACTCCGGCTCCGGCTCCGCATCCCTGGTTGTGACCCATAAACATATGAGGATACGGTCAGCACTTTACAGTTTGGAGCGATGGACAAAACAGCGTACAAAAACGGCAAAACTATCTCGGCCTCTGCGTTTGATCGCAGCACATACACCGAAAAACAGCACAAACGTTCCACTCATACAACTGGTACACTGAACGAATCCGTGCTACAAACTTGGTCCACTATGACGAGACGCGACTCGCTTTTTGTACACTCATCCGTCATAAGGATGTCGAATGTAACGCCGATGCCAATACAAATGTGAGACAAAGGCACGATGTGACCTTGACCGCCAACACAGCTGCGGGGCCGACCGACGCTCGATCACAGACCGACACACGGA